TGTTTTTTAGTAGAATTGTTTAAGATACCACTAGAAAAAGCCGGTCTTGTTCCACTGGCTGTTGTGCCGCCCAAGTCGGAAAATCGCCGTCGACAAGCATTGGTAGATGACATGACAGCAGAAGATTGTCTCAGAGCAGCTGATCCAGCAGCACGCTCTAGGCTCTCGGCTCGATTACCCAACGCTAAGTTGGCTTTTCTGGATAATAAGGTAGATAACTGACGTGATTATTCAGTATTTATGTTCAGGAACTTCATGGCGACACTTTGTTTAGGTTTTTAAATTCGCTATAGCTCACATTTGAAAATTTCAGGATGGAGCTACTGTGTTGAATGTCATTGGCGAAACCGAAAAGAAGGGAATCAAACTCGGCGACATAGTCGGGCCTTTGGAAGAGGGAACCCCAGGAATGCTCAGTTTAGGGGATCACAGGTATTTTTAAACTCCTAAAACTCGTTTTTGGGACATTGTATCTGGGGCATCACGGAAAGTGGAGATGCTTCGAAGAAACAAGTTTTGTTAAAACATATTTCCTTCGTTAAGACATGTCCAGCTAAAATCAGCAATCCACAGCTTGTGGCATTTGAGCCGATCCTCAAAATTGAAGGAGTTCTGCGAAGTGGTGATGAGCTTCGGGCGTTTAGGTCGCAGTGCTTTCCTTGGGTCATCACGTTCAGTCAGCGATTACCTTTCTCACTGGCCGTCTTTAACCTCCCTCGCCAGCATTGTCTTAGTGGGAATACGCGCGGTGCAGCTTCGCATCAGAAATAGGAGCCGCAAAAAGATTTTTGCAATCTTTACTTGTTGTTGTGATTAGCATGCCCATATGTTCAAAAAGACACCACCTTAAGGCCTATAGTTGTGATTCTTATCAGAATTGATTGAAAACCGGGACACTTTTGAGGCTCCAAATCGAGACTCTCGACAGATTGTTGTTTTGAGTTGCAGTACTATATTCTCCAACATTTTTTTTCACCTAACAGTGGTCGTTAGCTTAAGTCGCTGTGAACCTCAATCTGACCTGTCACGTGCTTACTTATTCAGGCTCTCCGGTCAGTCCATGATTACATATCTGAACTATGGACCATTTGCTTCATTTGCTCCACAATACGATTCCACGTGGGCAACGCTTACTAAGAGAGATTCAGATCTTCT